CTCATGCCAACCCCATAGGAGGTAGGGACTATTATTATTCCCATTTTATAGACAAGGAAGCTGAGAGGTTAGGTTTTTTGCAAGGGAGGAGTGGAACCAAGATTTGAAACTAAGAAGTGTGCATTATTTTTGTTGTGGAAGAAGATTATGAGGAGGAGGATAAAAGGAAAGATGAGAAGGAAGGATGAAACAAAAGGAAGAGGAAGAAGACGGTTTTATAAACAGTGCTATGGGCAACCTACAACTGTAGCTACAAGTCCAAGGAAGCTCCAGAGCAAGCAAGAATATTTGATCCTCAGGTCAGTCTTGGGTCAGTCCCACTGGGTCGACCCAAGCTAAAGGATGTGGGCAATAATTCAGAAAAGGCCTTAGGCCTGAGGCACGTGAGCAAAGAAAGAATGTGGCACACCATCCTTCAAACCTGCCCTGAGTCATCAGAGAGACAGGGGAATTATGAATTATAAAGCTCTTCCAAACAAGGAAAATGTGATTCTATTGTTCTGGAAAAGGTTGCTAGGTTTTAGAGCTAAGGATGCTGCCTAGGTTTGCCTTCAGCCTTTTGACAATATACAGAACTAGTAGCTCCCAGCATGAGGTCCATGGATGTCATGAAAAACAGGGTGCGGTATCTTCTGTCTGAACTTGTTAATCCACAGCAGGTCTAAACTCTGTTCAGTGCAGAAGATACTTCATTCTCTCTGTTGAATCTACCACATTGCCCATTATTTGTGAGTGTGTGTCACATTACAGGCACCGAGTTAAGTGCTGATGAATCAAAGATGACACAACCCATTACTGGCCCCAGAAGAGCTTCAAGCTACTATGAAACACAAGGAAATGTGCATAACTATAATACAAGGAAGAGAGTGATAAGTTTCGTAGGTGAGGAAAATGCTATGGGAATTCAGAGAAGGAAGTGATAAAATTCAGAAGGGAAGCTTCATGGAGGGAAGTGTTTTTGAACTGTTACTTGAAAAATTCAAGGGTAATAAGATGGCATGTGTGTAAGAATGTATGAGGCTTGTGCAAAATTGGAAGTATTTCAGTTTGGATGGAGTATGGAGATAATAAAGGGGAAATTCAAAAGGTAGATTGTGCCTAGCCCATGGAAGGCTTTAAGTGCCAGTCTAAGATGTTTGGGCTTTATTGTATAGGCATCAGGAACCACTAGAGATTTGGGGGCAAGAAAGTGATACATCTGGATATGCTGTAGAAAAATGAGATGGAATGGGGAAAATCCAGTAGAGAGACCACTCAGGAGAACACTGCGGTGTCTCAAGTGAAGATGGATGATCTGATCCAAGGCAGTAGAAATAATATGAAGATAATGGAGCAGGTGTTTAAAATAGGGAGCAGGCACCAGCAGCAGAACTTGGTGACCAATGGGCTTCAGTTAACTAACACAGAATAATCAAAGAAGACTGGATGTTTTTCAACTTGGAAGATACAGGGTAACAGAGAGCAGGAGAACAGCAGAGTAAAAAGGCTCAAAAGGAGTAAGAGGGAAAAGAAGATTCATTTGGTTAGGGACTTGTGGGAATTGGGAAGACTGTTGAACATTCAAGTGGCATTGTCCAGCAGACAGTTAGCTACAGGTGTCATCCACTTAGGACAGTAGGAGCCATAGCAGTGGATTGGGATGCCAAGGTTATAGCTGTTAAGCTTCGCATGGCCAGACTTCCTTAAATGTTGCATTTGCCAAAGTCTCCCCTTGGTTTCTTTTTCATTCATTCATTTAACAGATAATAATTGTATGGTTGATGCTAAACTGGAGAGATCAGAAAGAATTTCAAAGTCTAAGATACAATCTCTGCCCTAAATAATCATCACCATCATAAGAGCAGCAACCATTTATTCATCATTCTTGCTTTATACAAGGCACCAGGTTAAAATAAGATATATATTATTTCATTTCATCATTACAACAACCTATGAGTTAAGTAGTAGTATTATTATACCCGTTTTATGGAGAACTGAAGTTCAGAAAAGTTACCTATTTATCCAAAATTACACATGGCACATCATCAAGGATCCTACATTCAGAAACTGGTTATCAGACTCCAAAGCCTCAGCTATCAACCACTAAGGCTGTTTGGTGAGATAAAATTTGCATTTTAAAACAATGTTAAATAACAACCCAGATGCTTTCACCATCAAAGGTTTAAATAGCACCTTGTGCAGGTCTTGGCAAGCAGTGGGTCCTTAATACATGTTTGTAAAATGCAGACAAGAACCATGTGTGGTAGATACAGCAATTCAGGGGAAAAAGAAATTTCAGTAGATTGTAATAAGCAAGATTTATGCTGCTGAAGAATGGGGAAAAGTACCCTCCAGAAGAAAGGAATAGAGAGATTGAGATGGAGAGGTGGTAGGCAGATTCAGAGTGTTTCTGGGAAGAATGAAAAGGCCACTACAGCCACAGAAGGCAATTGTGTACAGATGTGTAGCAGGAGATACGTTTCAGAAGGTCTGTTGGATTCAGATCATTGAAGAGTTAAGTATTTTGGACTCTATTCTACGGACTGCTCAGTCACTAATGGTCTTTGAGCCTGGGAATGGCATAACGAAAATGGGCTTTTGACACAATGAATCTAACACTGGTTGGCAGGAGAGAATGGAAGGGAGGAAGATGAGAGGCAAGCAGTCTGGTTGCGAAACTGTTGCAGTAACTCACCTATGAGCACAGTAGGATTCTGGGCAGACAGTAGATGGAGGCAAGACAGTCACTCAGAGGAGTTTGTCTTGCAGTAGAGTGCCCTGGGGCATGTCCAGCCTGGGAGAGTGGTACTGCAGAGCTCTGTCACCATCCTAGGGTTGTGGGGATAACAGTCTGGAGTAGCAGATTTCCTCTGTTTAACTTCATGTCACTCACTGCCTCTTTAGCACAGAGAAGGATTCTGAGAGCATGGGAACCATAATAAGGAAGCTTTAATTGGGAGAGATGATAGAGAAATGCCCAGAGTCTGGACGCCCAGGCGCAGCATGAGGGCATAGTCTCCAACAGAGAGAGCTACCAACAGGAAGTCAGATGTAGACTACAGAGACAGAGGTGCCAAAGCAGGGCAGGACTTTGCCAAGAGCATAGGCACTTTAGCCCAGCCAGTTGGGGTGGTAGAAGGAGCCCTGAACCAGGAACACTGACTGGAACCCTGCCACATACACTAGCAAGATGACCTTGCTAAGTCATTTAATGGTTTAAGATAACTGATGTGGAAACATCCAGCCGAGTGCCTGGTATGTGGCTGATACTTATCAAATATATAGAGAAAATAAAGGTCTTGAGCTTCTGTTTGCTCACCTGTGAAGCAGAGATAATCTCAGACCCGCCTACCTGCCCGGAGTATAGGGTAGGATCACATGAGAGATGCAGTCTGTGAGCACTCTCCAGAGGCAGTAGACTAATCTAAGGGAAAATATCATGATTTTCATGGATCTCTTGAACCCTCCAGAGACTTTTTCAGAAGCAGAGGAATATTTTTACGAATCTCTCCACCTATTTCCACTAAAAGAGAGAATAGAAGTGAGAAGATACCATAAGCCCTTTGGGTACCAGATCATGAACTCTTCCAGGGCAAGAATGGGTCTTCATCTCTTTATCCCCAGTGCCCAGCAATGTACTTTCATGGATTTAACCAAACCCTATGGTGCCCATGGCCAATCAGAACATCTGTAGCCCAGAGCAGATCCAAAGCCAAGTTCCAATGAAGGGATCAGAGACCTAGAAACTTAAGGCTTTTAGAGCTGGAGAGAGCTAGTGCTGGTGAGCAGGTGGGAGTGGGCCACAAACAACTTCACCGTTACCCTGAGAGACTCTCCTTGGCCAAACATTCAAGGCTTTTCACAGTCTGACTCCTGTCTGACTTTTCATTATTTCCTTTCCTGCAACCTACACCTTCTCGTTCCTCACACATACCCTACATTTCCCCCACCCCCAGCATCTATAAGCCAGATTTTAACTTTCTTTTGCATCAAATGCCCTTCTCCTCACCCATACGCTACAGTCCTCACCTGTCCAAGGTATGGCATGTGTGTTCCTTCACCCATGAAGGGTTAACCTCCCATCTTCTAATCTCTGCCATTCTTTATGCTATTCTGCTATAGTCCGGCTTCCCTCCCAGAATCACAATTATTAATGTGTACATTCCATCTCTCCTATGGCCCATTAATCCTTTAAGGGCTGAGTCCATGCATATTTGTTTTTGCAGATGTGCAAACTGAAGCTCCCTCCCCCAGAATCTGCCACAGTGTCTTAAGCAAAGTAGGTGCCTCATAAATGTGTATTAAATGAATGAATAAAAGTATATCCATTATAATAATACAACTATTCCTATCATCACCATCAGCTTCATTCACATCTATTAATTCACAGTAGGTAAGCCTTGAACTAGCACTGCATCTAGTCCATAGTAGGCCCTCAGCAATTCTTTGCCAAATGCAAAAGGTAAATCCCAGTGCAGTGTGAGACTCTTCCTGATTTCATATGCAGTAGTGATCCTAGAAGATGTCACAAGGAGCGCTGTTCTTTTCAAATTGGATTTTTTGTAATCAAGGAGTAGGTTGGAAAGTACTTAGATTGGTCTCTAAACTTTGGAGCTGTAGCAGCAGCACAAACACTTATTTTTCATTTTCTCCCTTAATTATGCCCTTTCCTCTCTACCACCCCAAGTTCTCAGGCTGAGTATCCATTGAGTTTCCTTGACGGAAAATAAAGTGACTTGATGTGGTTTCCTTCCAGCTGTTTCTGCAGCCCCCACCTGAACCTCAGAATGCAGGGCAGGCATCTTTCTGTCATATCCTCTCAATGGGGTTTCTCACCAGCCTGCCAGGAAGGACTGGTCACCTGCAGGTGAATGAATGCTCTGGCCTTATCCCAGACAAGCTGTTTCATCCCTGCAAAGTCAGTGGGCATCCAGTCGTCAAGCCTGATGGGCCCAGGCTGCTAAAATGAGCACTCTGTCGCAGGAAGTGCTGTCTCTGATTGATTTCCCTGATGATTTCAGGCCGTGGTGGTGACTGATGGGGAGCGCATCCTGGGCCTGGGAGACCTGGGCTGCTATGGCATGGGCATCCCTGTGGGCAAGCTGGCCCTGTACACAGCGTGTGGAGGGGTGAACCCGCAACAGTGCCTCCCTGTGCTGCTGGATGTCGGCACCAACAATGAGGTAACCCGCTGCCCAGGCCAGGAGCTCTGGGGCCAGAAGGTGGCAACTGGGATGGGGTGAGGAGCATGTTTGTGGGTGGTTATATCTACATAGCAATGGGCCGTTTCTTTCTTTGCATCCCCCTGACCAGGGCACTCACCCTACATAGTTGTGGAGTAGAGGACCTTCTTCCCTGCTTGCCCACCTCTAGCTCCATTCTGTTCCCTCTTCCGCTCCTGGATCCCCTTGCTCCTCTACCTCCATGAGGCCCTCTGTGCCCACAGAGGCTTCCATGCTTGGGCTTCCTTCCTCCCTAACTTCCATTACCCTATGCAGTTTCTATTTCCCTTGAGGTGGGTGTGACCACTGGGCTGTGTTTTTTAGCATTCTCAAGGCAAGCTGCCCCAGTGGAAGGATTAGAATTCAAAGCACCAGGACCAGGGGCTGAAATGTCTGATCAGGCAGATCAGTGTCCTGTAAACCTAGTGAAAGAAACTGGGCCAAGCTGTAGGTGAGATCCACCTGCAGCATTCCTAACAGTTCGTGGTTTAAGGAACTCAAACCCCAGCCAATGGTTTGTCTGCTCTGGGAACCACCCTGGGCATGTCTGTGATTTGCAGCTCCATCTCTGTGTCAGAAACCATGAAAAATATCCAAGGATTCCCTCTTAATGACATTTATATTTGAGATCAGTGCATGTTCATCTTTTAAAAATTGAGGCCTAGTACAGTCACCCATGCCTGTAATCCTGGCACTTTGGGAGGCCAAGCTGGGCAGGATCACCTGAGGCCAGGAGCTTGAGACCAGCCTGGCCAACATGATGAAACACCATCTCTGCTAAAAATATAAAAATTAGTTGGGCGTGGTGACACATGCCTGTAATCCCAGCTACTCCGAAAGTTGAGGCAGGAGAATCACTTGAACTTGGGTGGCAGAAATTGCACTGAGCCAAGATTGTGCCACTGCACTCTAGCCTGGATGACAGAACAAGATTCTGTCTCAAAAAAAAAAAAAAATGAGAAAATTCAGAGAAGTGTTAAAAATAAAACATCATTCACACAACAAGCATTAATCATTGTTGACAAATTGGTATATTTTCTCCCAGCCTTTTTTTTTTTCCAAAGCACTTGTAAAACTTGGGTTCTTATTATATATACCATATTTTATATTTCTTTTTCAAATTTAATTATCCGTCATGACTTTTCTTCCAGGTCATTAACCGTTCTTCCACAATGTTAGTTTAATAGCTGCCTGGTTTATCATAAATTACAAAAGAAAACCCTACAGTTGGACACTTAGGTTGTTTCTAGTTTTTTTTTCAAATATAAATTGTGCTCTGACACCCATTTTTGCAGATGAATCTTCGTCCCTATCTCTGAGTATTTCCTTAGGATAAATTTCTAGAAATTTAAGAATTGAAGCAAAAGGAATGATCATTTTTTAAATTTTTGATTCACATTATCAAAAAAGTTATACTTATTTGCATTCTGCAGTGATCTCTCTTAAGAAAATTTGCCAAGCCTCTTTACAGGGCCTTCCTCTTCCCTAGACACCATGCATCCCCATTTCTTTTTTATTTTATTGTTTAAGACAGACTCTTGCTCTGTTGCCCAGGCTGGAGTGCAGTGGCTTGATCTCGGCTCACTGCAACCTCTGCCTCCCGGTTTCAAGCAATCCTCCTGTCTCCGCCTTCCAAGTAGCTGGGATTACAAGCATGCACCACCACACCCAGCTAATTTCTGTATTTTTAGTAGAGATGGGCTTTCACCATGTTGGTCAGACTGGTCTTGAACTCGTGACCTCAAGTGATCCACTCACCTCTACCTTCCAAAGTGCTGGGATTACAGGCATGAGCCACTGTGACCGATCCATGCATCCCCATTTCAAACAAGAGCAAGCACTATAGATCCTAGTAAAGAATGATGCTTATTCACACTTCATCTGCAGATACAATCCAATGATGGAACACTGGGCAGACCTTGCCTAACAGCTGGGAAATCCTGGGGGTGGGAGTGAGACGAGGAAACGTAAGAAAGTGGGAAAGGTATTGGGATTGGGACCTTGGTTCCCAATACCATGATGAGCCAGGGACCTTGCTTTCAGTAACATGATGAGCCAGATAAGTCACTGCACTTCCTTAGACTTAATTCCCCTTTAGTACATTGAGAGCCTAGATCAGAAGTTACTGAGCATCCTGCAACCTCTAAAACCACTTGGTCTCCATGTGTCTCCTCACCAGTTCAGGAGACAGGAGGTTGGATGGGGATACACGCTTTACAGCTGCTCATCTAAACCAGTCTTCAAGTTTTGCTCTGCACAGTGGTGCCCTTCCCCCAGGCAGATATCTGAGTTTTGCTGAAATTGTCTTTTGGCCTCAAAGAATGCTTGTTTGCAAGCCTGGATGAGCGCAAACAAGCATTTGTTTGTTTTATTCTTCCTCTCCAAAACCTCCTGCAGTGTTCCAGCTGGATTTAATTGAGACCTTCATTCCTTTTAAAAGCTGACCTTAGACAAGAATTGGAACAGAATGAGTTTTATTCTGAGGCCACTGCATCCACTGGAAGGGTGCTGGCTGCCCTGGTGCACTGGGATCCTTTGTCATTGATGGTCCAGCACTCGGCAATGATATGCTGAAGTTTAGAGCTGGCTCTAACTTAAAACAAACCCACCAGAAAAAATGACTGTAGCAGTAATTGTGGGTCAGGCCCTTTTTTGTGGACCACTCGGTTTAAGCCTTACAATAACCCTGTGAATTGAGCAGCTGTTATTACTCTCTTTTTTTATAGCATAGGAAACAGGCCCAGAGAGTTTCATTTGCCCAAGAAGATCTGCTAGAAGTGGCAGGACTGGGATCCAAATCCGAGTTTGTGCTCCTCTCCCCACATTACACCTGTGCCCTCAGTTTCTGTTTCTTTATAAGTAAAGATCATTTCTTGATTTTTAGAATTTTTTATTACTAAAATAAATTTAGAACATTATTCAAAATTTTAAAAGAAAAAGGAAATAGCATTTCTCTCACAGCGCTGCACTTGTGTTTCTTTCCAATATTTTTCTGTGCCTATACATAGAGGTGGTTATTACCTAGGTGTGATCATAATGTGATTTTGTTCTAATTTTTCCCATTAAGATTATTTTGTGAATACTTTGCCTTATTTAACAAAAGTGTATTGAGTGTTTAGTGGGTGTCAGGCACCCTGCTGAACCTAAGGGAGATACATGAGGGTCAGCCTGAATAGAATATTCTAGTTGTCAGTGTTTCAACACTGTCACCTAATTGGTCACTTTAATGAGTCATGTGTCACATCTACTCAAAGAATCTGCTTCTCCTCCTGGGGCTTTAGGCCTCTAGAATCACCTCTCCCTTTTGGATGTGGAAGGGAAAGAACCTCCCCTGGGCCTGCTATTTATGTCAGGGAGGGACCAGAGTACCCCCATCTAGGAAGAGGGAACATGCCCTGATCTGTCCTCCGCATGCACCCCAGGAGTGAGAGGAAGCAGTTCTTCCCTGGTATATTCTCCCCATTTTCAGATAAAGAAACTGAGACTGAAACATGTCAACTACTTACCCCAGATACCACAGCTCTAAGTCTCAGAGCTGGGATTGGAACCCAGCTCTCTGGCTCCACAGCTGCCTTGCCCACCATGGTGCACTGCTCCAAGGGATCAGGTGTTTGCATTATAGACTGGGAAGTGGGGGCCGAGAATGGGTATTTCACACAGGCAGGATCCCATGGACACTCAAGATCAAGTCAGAGGATAGCGATGCTCTTTATACCATCCTCCCCTCTAGGGAACAGCAGGCCCCCTACAGACCCACTTGAAGAAATTCAGGACACAAAATTCTCAAAGTTATAAAGTGACCGACATTAGGAACATGGTTATTTTTCTCTTTTCCCAACTACAGCTCATTTTTTTTTTAATGATTCTGTTTGCAAGACATCGCCCCCACCAGAAGTCCCAGGGCACATCTTTTGCTCAGAGCAAGCCTAAGATGTAACAGAGGGAAGCTTGGCCTTACCACTTTTATCTCACATGTCCACACAGGGAGATGCTGTTGTGAGGGGTTTTTAGTGTCAGAATAACTGGACCATCTGTGTGTATGGCTCTACAGAAACTCCTGAGGCAACAGGAGCTTTAATCACAGTCAAAGACAACACCCCTCCAGGTTTCCTGTTGAAGGAAAACATCTGCTGTCCACAGCCCTGAAACTCTGCGTCACTTTTACCTGCTGATACCAAGGGGATTTGGAAAAATAAGTGTGTGGGGCCATGATCCCATGAAAAAGGGACATCCCGTGATTAAGTTCCAAGGGGGTAGGGGAAGAGAGCACCTGCTCAGGCGTCCATCATGGCTGCGTTTGGAATGGATTTATTTTGTTTCATCCATACACAGCCAGTCACAGACTATTCAGGTTGGAAGGGATCTGAGTACCATCTCATTCAACCCCCTTGTTTTACATGGGAAAAGAGGCTCAGAGCAGAAAGGGCTTTCCCAAGGTTTTACTCCAAACCCAGAGGTCTTCCCACTCTGTGCTAAGGCAGTGTGGGAGAATCCAGGGGTGTGGGGCTTGGCTTTAAAATGACACTACTGAGCCTTGGAGGTCTTCTCTTGGCAGAAGTCTTGAGCCTCTATGAATTCAGCCCAGAAGGAGATGCTGTGTGATCTTCTAGAACTGAAGAACAGATGTAGGGAAGGGAGTCATGTCTGCTTAGGGAAACAAACATGGGAGCAGATTATCCGCAGAGCCTGGTAAATATTGCCTTGGGTGTTATTGGACTGCCAAGGAAGCATGGAGTTGGTAACCAGGCTGGGCGTTGCAGGGTTTCTTCTACCTTGCAAGATCATTGTTATTTAGCATTCTCCATGTGGTACCATCATAGATCTCACTCTCTATGGTGAGCTCATCCTCATGTAACACATGAGGATGGCCTTGCTAGGATCTCTGTAGCTTAACCCGGGCTTAGCTGAGCTTCCCAAGGAATGAGTGGTAGGTGGGACTGCCACTGTGAGGGGAAAGTGTG